CCCGGCCCCCCCAGCCCCGGGGGCACACTGCCAGGGGGGCCGGGGGGAAAGGGGGACACTGGGGGCCACTGGGAGGGAGTTTGGGGGGTGCTGGGGGTGATGGGAGGGGGGTTAGAGGGTCCTAAAGGGGCTGGGAGGGGCTGGGTGGGATCCCTGCAGGGGCTGGGAAGGGACTGGCAGAAGGTTTCGGGGGGTCCTGCATGGGCTGGGAGAGACTGGGACGGGGTTTGTGGGGTGTCTGGGAGGTTTTGGGGGTGCTGACCCCCCCGGCTCCCCCCAGAGATGCCACCGGACACCGTCCGCAGCAAGATCCTGGTGGGGGTCGGGGGCTTCGTCTTGGGCTTGGTCTTCCTGGCGCTGGGGCTCGGCTTCTACCTGCGGGAGAAGGTAAAGGGGGGTCCCCGGGGGTCGTGTCCCCCCCCTTGCTCTCCCACAGCCTCTGGGCCCCCCCTGCCCCCCCAGCCCTTTTGCTCTCACCCCCTTTTCTCTCCCCACAGAGCTTCTGAGCCACCGGCGGCCGCAGCCCCTCCCTGTGGCCTCGGGCCCAGCCGGGACCCCCCGGTCCCTCCCCACGCTGAGTTTGGGGGGTCGTGTGTCCCCCCCAGCCCTGCTTTTATTCTGACCCCAGTCGGCTGCTCCCAGTGTTCCCAGTAAAGCTTCCCAGTTCTCCCCAGTCCCTGTTATTGGGGGGCAGTGAGGGCAGGGGGGAGGGGATCCCTGTCATAGCTTTACTTGTTCTAGAAAACCAAGCAGGAATTTTTATTTCTCTGCCCCACTGCAAAAGAAAGATGTTGAATGGGGGAGGTGCTTTGCCTTGGGTGACTCACACACACAAAAGAACTGGCCCAGCCCACACTGCAGGTTGGGAGCCCTCAGAACACTGGGGGGGATGTGGAGTTTTTTGCTTTCTCCTGGGCAAAGGGCAAGGCACTTCCCTTTGGCCTTAGCTCAGGCAAGGTGTGTGTTGGAGAGGCTCCCAGGTCGTTTTGTTCTGGGCCTGCTCATCTGGCTGTTTGCTGGTTCCCGTTTGCCTTCGTTTCCTGCGTCCTGTTCTGCCCCCAGCCCGGACCTGCTCGGACTTCATGGGAGAGGTTTGACCCCCCTACAGAGGAACCTTTTCTGCCAATACACAGATATCCTTTAAGAAAGAGCTGGTATTTTTCCTTTCTCCATACTTCCTCAATTGGAGTCTCTTCATTTCGGATTTACAGTTGCTTACAGGGAGGAGTTTGGTCTTCCCCATAACTCATCCCCCTTAGCAAAACACTTCAGTCTCATTCAACTGAGACAGAGGTGCTGCCCCATGCTCCTGCCCTTGCCATTGCACATCCCTACATCCCAGAGCCCCAGCAAGAGCCCTGAGGAATGAGGCAGGCACAGGATCTCCCTTCCCAGGGGCTGGGGGTCAGGCCTTGGCCCTTTGCAACAACAAAACAAACCCAGATTTATTCAGCATCACAGACCCCGGGACTTTGCTTGTCCCCACCTGTCATCACTGCCTCCAGTTTTCAGCTCTGACTGGAAGCAGGGGACAATTTCTGAGTCCTGGCCCTCAGTGGGACCCATGAACGCCATGAGAAACTGTGGACTTGGATCTGACTTTGAATTCTTCAGAGGTTTCTTTAACTTGCTCTTTGTCTGATGTTCAGGGACTCATCCCCAACCCCCCGAGGGTCATTCGATGCCTGGGGCTGTTGCTGTGCTGCTGAGCTGGGCCGGGCTCCTGGCACACAGGGAGCTCCTGGCAAGCGGGCAGCACTGCAGAGAGACAGCTCTGCCCAGGAGCAGCTCCTCTGCACAGCCCAGCAGGGCTGAGGGCACTGCCAGGGCAGCTCAGGGACACCAGCAGGGCACACACAGAGCTTCAAGGGGCTCAGGAGCAGCTCTCAGCCGGCCCAGGAGCTGCTCCAGGGCTGGGGGAGAAGGGCTGTGGGCAAGGAGCAAACCACAATTGACAGGGGAAGGCAGGGCAGGGCCCTTCTGCTGTTGAGATGGTGCAGCACATGTCAGGAATGATCACAGCTCCAAAGGACTGCTGGAGGTTTCTAAGAGGAATTTTCAGGAAATGCAGCAAGGCAGGGGCATCCTGAAAGGGAAGGATCCTGTACTTCCAGTGTTCTGCTCTGGGTTCCCAGGGACGGGCAATGACAAAGATCAATTCATGTCTCCATTCAGGAGGAAGCATGGAAAATCCAAAGCTGTTCTTCTTCCAGGGCAATGGCACAGGGAGTGTCAGAAATCAGCACCCTGGGCCTCACAGGCAGCAGCAGTGGTGCTTTTCCAGCCTCCTCAGGGTTGCTCTGCTGTTGCCATCAGAGCCTGCCCAGCCAGAGGTGCCCCTGGGCACCAGAGTGCCCTGTGCTGGGAGGGCTCTGCAGGGCACAGCTGAGCACCCAGGGCTGGGATGGGCTCTGGACGCACTGCCAGGGCCCAGCCCTGGGCACAGGGAAGCAGCTGCTGGCAGGGACAGCTCCAGGCAGCAGAGCCTGAGCACTCCTCTGCATCGCCCTCTGCTCAGCTGCACAGGGAAAGAGGGAAACAGAGTTGGGAGGAATTGATTTTGCAAGTGGAGTCTTCGCAAAAACCCACTTTTTTTCCAGGCATCTTTGAAGTGGATCATCCACCAACAGAGAGGTGCAAATAGCACAGGGAACCTGTGTGCTGACCAGCAGGTCACTTGTGGGCAGAGCAGCTCTCCTGAGTCTGCACTGGGGCACAGGGAGCCCTTTGGGACCTCAGAGCTGTGCAGGGTTCAGGCTGAGAGCAATGGGGAGGGTGAGAATTCCTGCCCGGTCAAGGAAAGTGCTCTCACTGAGCAGCACAGAGCTGAGTGGAACAGAGTTCCCCAAAGAAATCAAAAGAATTTGGAGGAGATTATAAAGCAGCAGAGGATTGACTCCAGGCAGCCCTGCCCTGACTGTGCTGCCTCTCCTGTCCCCTCCCCAGCGCGGGACGCGCAGAGGCCGCCCGGCTCCCCCCAGCCAAGGCCTGCCGGGCCCCGCCAGCAGCGGCTGCTGGCCCAGGGCTGGGCAGATGCCGGGGCTGCAGCGCTGCGGCGCAGAGGGAGCCTCCCGGGCCCGGGCCCTGCCCGTGTCCCTCCGGGCTCGGCACTGCCGGCTCCTTGTCGTGCCGCTGGGGCTCCAGCCCCGCCGGCCGCCGCAGCCCCGGCAGCTCCTGCCCCGCCGGCGCTGGCCGCGGGCTGCGCTGCTGCTGCCCGGGCTGCCCGGCTGCCAGGGACCCCCAGCACAGGCCCTGTGCCCCCGGGGCCGGGCTGCCGTGGCTCCCGGGGCTCCTGCAGCTCCGGGGGCACAGGGGCCAGCACGGCCCGGCCCCAGCCAGGGACCAGGCCCGGCCCGGCTGCCCTGAGGCTGCCGCTGCTGCAGCTGAGGGCGGCGGCAGGAGGAGGCCTGGGCTGGAGGCGGCTGCCTCGGCACAGTGCTGGGGAGGGTGGGGGGAAGTGGCAGGTCCACAAAGCCCCTGGAGAGTCTGGAGCTTCTGGAGCTTGAGGAGTTTGAAATAGTGGATAGTGTTAGGCCTTTTCCCAGGAGAACAGTAAGGCTGATTAAACGTTCCCATGGACACAGCCTTGAGTTTTAAAGAGTTAGCTAGAAAAGGATAACAGTACAAGGACGAAGCTGTTTGACTGTGTGCAGGTGTTACATTCCTAAGTGTTTTTGGAAAAATATATTTACATTATGTGTGTGGGAAAGCAGAAGCCAGCGAGCTCAATAAAGCCTGCCTGCTGCTCGGAAGCAGCTCACACCCCTTGTCTCATCACTTTTTTGTGCCTGTGTGTGTGTGTGTGTGTCTTCTTTTCTTCAGGGACCAAGACCTACCAACAGATACCCAACGACAGGGGAGCCCGGCCCGTCCCACCAGCAGCCTCTCCTCCTGCCCCGGCCCTCAGCTGCAGTGGGCACCCGGGGGGCTCCTGGAACACCCCAGGGCAGGGCGGGGCCCAAAGGGTCACAATGTGCCCTCGGTTCCAGGAGGCCCCGCAGGGTCACAGTGGCCCCTGGGCACCCGCAGGCCCCACATCACACAGCCCTGGCACTTGCCATGGAAACGCCCCTGCCCAGAACCGGCTGCAACCGGCCCGAGCAGCCCCTTCCAGCACAGCCGCTCAGGGCGGGGCCCTTTCGGCTGCTCTGGGGCACCTTTTGCCCGCCGGGAGCGTGTGGGGATCCCCCCCCGCAGCCCGGACAGCGGCACAGCGGCACCTCCTTGCTGCTGACACCCCCCAGCAGGGGGGAAGCTTTGCTTCGGGCCCTGCCACATCTCGGGCTCCTCCAGGGCTGCCAGGGCTCCTGTGGCACGCAGCTGTCCCCAGGTGGCCACTCCGGGGGCCAGTGCTCTGGGGGCAGTGCCGGCCAAGGGCCCTGGGGGTCCTGGGGGTGCCCACTTGGCCAGGAGTCAGCAGTGCCCTGGCAGCCAGGAGGGACAACCCTGGCCTGGGGGCATCAGGCCCAGCATCGCCCGCCGGGACAGGGAGGGGATTGTCCCGCTCTGCTCTGCCCTGGGGCGGCCTCACCTCAATATTGGGGCACTCTGGGGGACACAATGCAAGGAAGAGATGGAGCCATTAGACAGTGTCCAAAGGAGGCCACGAGGATGGGGAAGGCTCTGCAGGGGAAGCCTTAGGAGGAGCAGCTCAGGGCACTTGGTGTGTTCAGCTGCACAAGAGGAGACTGAGGGGAGACCTCAGGGCAGTTCCAACTTCCTCAGCAGGGGCAGAGGAGGGGCAGGCCCTGAGCTCTGCTCTGGGGGGACCAGGGACAGCACCCAGGGAATGGCCTGGACTTGTGTCAGGCCAGGGTCAGGTTGGATGGTAGAAAGAGGTTCTTCCCCCACAGGGGGGTTGGCACTGAACAGGCTCCCCAGGGCAGTGGGCACAGCACCAAGGCTGACAGAGCTCCAGCAGAGTTTGGATCATCCTCTGGGGCACAGCCTGTGACTCCTGGGGATGGGCCTGGGCAGGGCTGAGGGTTGGACTCCATTACCTCCCTGTTCCACCCCAGTTTCCACCCACCCTACGCCCCCCTGGAATTGCCTCGGAGGACACAAAGCGACCCCTGGGGCCAGGCACCAACACCTTTCTTGCTCTGT